GAAAGTGACATTCTTATCATCAGTAGAGACCTGTAGAATTCTTTACAAACAGAACTTGTTAGAGTAATTCTTCTTTCTCTTTAACCTCCTCATAGAGTTTAGATACTTTTCCATAATTGCTTCTCTTTGTTCAACCTGCTATAAGAGCATGAAGGTTTCGTTTCCTTGAATCTTTAGTCCTCATGAGAGCTTCCATATCGCACAAGACTTACTGTAAATTTGTACACTTTTCTCCTTTCACATATCTTATGTCAATTTTAATTCCTGGCCAAGCCAAAAAGCTCTAAAAGGGTAGAGATAAAAATCTGCTTCCACTACCACATCAAGTTCAATCTTTCCAATTAGCACACATAAGTTACATGCTTCTGACATATATAAATCCATGAAGAAAAAAGTTAAAGGACACGTTGCAAGAATTTTTAACATTCAGAGAACTAGAAGGTATTTGGAAAATATTTTGAAAGCGGTCAAATTAAATGTAGTTACCCTCATAATAATATGGCATTATTATTCAGTTATATAACTTCCAAAAATGTATTATTTTCTTAAACGTAATTACATTAAAATATTAAACACAAACTGAGCCTATGTCTTAAACAAGTCCCTTAAAATCTGGCATTATTGTAGCCTAGAAAAACTTTGAACAAATTCTGATAATATGAAGTCAAGGTCAGATTTTAATTGCTGCATATAATATTACTTTCAGGTCCACAGGATGTTATTTATACATAGGGAGGATTTTTTATTTTGTTGTTGTTGTTATTTATTTATTTATTTTTGAAATGATCATAACTGTATCCAGGTTGACAATATAATGATTAATAAATGATTTTCCTTCACTTCTGTTAGGACAACAACTCAACGGATGTGCTAATGATTATTAACTGAGCTCTTAAATTAATTACCCTCAGATATAATTCTCATTTTCAAGTTATACTGCCTGTCCCTTGGCCATCTTTAAGGCATAGTAATTGGTACAATATTTTGAAAAAATGAAATGAGATATTCTTATTTTCTTTAATTCATAATGTTGTTTGGCTCCACTAAATCAATGTGTTTTAGTATATCAGAGAAAGGGCAATAATGGCTATAACAATAAATTTCTTGCTCAGTTTTTAGCTGTTGATTTTGATGCTTTCATATTTCATACTGTGGTTACAATTTTATCAGTGAGCTTTGCCGGAGAGAAACAGGCTTTGTCTAATTCTAAGAGCTTATCTTTACATATCAAGAAGTAATCCCGGTGAACTCAGAAAAGAAATTTTTACTGAAGCGGATCCCACATATCAGACTCTTACTCTTAGTTTCTTACTAACAATAGCTCAGTTTTGTTTGGGGTAGGCTCTAATTCTGTCCCAGTCAGCAAATCACTATTGGTCTTAGCCAGTCATGACAACTACTCATTTTCCCAGGTCCTTGAGAGAGGCAAGGGGTATGTGAGCCAAAGCAATCTAGTGATGTGTAAGGAATAGTTTGCTGGGGACTTCTGGGAAAAATTTTGGTTGTGTCCAGGTAAGAAGAAAGTCCTATCTCACAATACCTCAATTTTCTTCTTTGTAATGTGGTTGTATGTGGAAATTTTCATAATGAGACAATATGATTAAAACAAAAAAGTCAATATTTATAATGAGGCAGACCAAAAGTTGGAGGAAAACATCAGTGAGGACCAACCTACAGATTATTAATTGAGAAAAGGAAACCTTTACTTGCTTAGGTCACCTTCACATGAATTTCTACTAGGAGCAACTAAGACTTTCCTAATAGAATCCTCAAGGGAAAGACCCAAATATAGGGAATTTGAAGTTACAGAGAAAAGCAAGCAAGAGCCACTTTCTATATCCCAAACTCTGAGTCATCCAAGGGGAAGCAGTGGGAAAAAAAAAAATATATATATATATATATATATTATCAGGAGAAAATATTGATAGGATTAAAGTCCCAATTTACTTCCATGCTACTTGTTAATTATTCTCTTCCAGATACAGGGGGTAAGGAAATTGGGAAAAACTATATTAATGATGCTTTTTCCCCATCGAAGGCAATTGTTTGAATTGTCCAGGGCAGAGGCTATTAACCTAATGGCTAAAGGAGTAAAAGAGCACAGAAGCCAGTGGCTAAGAGATAGAAAAGAAAAGAAAAGAAAAGAAAAGAAAAGAAAAGAAAAGAAAAGAGAAGAAAAGAAAGAAAAGAATCTTGTAGATTTGTTTCTAGACATTTGGCTTTAAGCGTTTAAGCCTTTAAATTGACCTGGAGTCTCAATAAATGAGAAAACAATGTTGATCAAAACATTTCATTCTGAACAGTAAACATATATATGTATCTACCCCCAAAATGACCCTAAGCTCCCAGATCTGCTCCATTAGGCAATGGAAATGGAACATGACTTTCATGTGGTTGACCATCCAATTCCCAATTCATATATGACCATAGAGGACAATGGACGAAGAACTTCCCTTCTCTGGAAAGTGGTTCTTTTGTTTAGAAAACCACTGTCAGACTCTCAGGGATGTAGGTCTGGATCACCCAACAAGGTAAGAAACCCAGACCAGCTAAAGGTGGAAAAAGATGTGATGAAAATTAGTTACATAATCTGCACTAGTTGTCGTAATGGGGTCATACAATTTTCATACTTCAATTTTGACTAGTGATATATATTTATGCAGAGTGAAAATACTTTTAGAGAATCTAAGACTTAAAATGTTCCCCAATATTGGGCAAAGGTCAATATCTCATATGCAATAATAAATATTATTGATAGAAGTTTGTAACAGTAACTTAAATGCTTTCCTGTTTCTTTCAGTTAAGAACTCATTTCAAAAATATTCCAGAACACAATATTCAGTTCTCTTTCTCTTCCTGTGTTTTTATTTATAAACATTTTTCCCCATTCTTTTATGGTGGACTCTCAACACCATTCTGTTAGATTTAGACAAAATGTATTGAGCTATCAGAGGAACATGTGACAGAACAAAAGCCTTCCAAAGTCTGTAAGAGTCAAGTATACATTTCTGAGTTACTCTTAACACAAGACAGTTTTAAAACACGTAGAAGTTAAGAATGAATAAAGTATGGTCTAGGAGGTATAATAATTTTTGTAAAGTGCAGCCAAGAATGTCTCTTTCTATAATAGCTATTGAATTTACAAACACAATTAAGGGGAACTACTAGGCTCATGCATCATTTGGACTTGAAGTCTTTACTGAAAACTCCCATTAGAGTCAAAAGCAAGATATAAGAGCAAGTTTTATGAACACCGTTAGATTTTCTACTGTAAGGAGGGGTAGCATGGAATTTCTGTTGAATGTATCTGTGGTAGTTTTTAACAATTATTATAGATATGGCAATGTTCATTTATTCATATGTTCACTTATTCATAAGAATATCCCACACCAAAGGGGGAAAATAAATATAATACACAAGTTACAAAAAAGTCCAAATATAATGGACATTTATTTTATTTGCTCACTATTCCCATTGTTTTCATACTGAAAAATTCATCTTAAAAAGTTTTGTTTGTTTATTGTTAAATCACTGGTAAACCTGAAGAGAAATCTTACACTCCAATATTTGAATATATGGAATGGGACTGTGGTGGGGAGGGAGAGGACCAGAAAATGAATAATAAGAATGTCATAAAGCCTTAATATTTAAAGCTAACTAGGAGAAATGAATAATGTGAAATATAGCAAAGAAAGAAATGTTGCAACATATAATACATAATAAAAGGAATGGCTTTGATTTTTCATAATTACATACAGTAATCCAAATGAAAGCTAAAACTATAGCTAAAGCTATAACTTCCCTGCATTATCTGACTTAAATTTATTTAGATCAACTTAAATGAACAGTTTTTGTTTTGTGAAAAAGATTTTTGCTTTCTTGTAAAAAAAAAAAAAAGACAAAAATACAATAGTGCCTTAAGGAGGCTTCAGATCTTCCCTAAAATATTCTTGTTTTTGATTTAGTTAGCATTACTAAAATTTTGGAAAGTTAGGGTAAAAAATACCATCTTGCTCAAAGAGTGCTTTTCTTATTTTGCAAAATTTCTTTTGGGAAGTTCGTTTTTAGACTAAAAACGTAAGAATTTTTACCATTAATTCTTCATGTTTATAATGTTGACCTTGGATAAATTTTCCAATGCCTATATTTTCTACCACTTTATGATTGGATTAAAAACAATAATCAATTAAAGAATCTTAATAGAGATGAGCCTCAATGTCATAAAAAGGAGATAAAATGACATGGTGTTTTAATGTGCATGAAGCCCCTAAAGATAGAGAATTTGAAGAAAATATTTTCTCTGACCTCTATATCAGAGATGAGTCTGTGATATGTCTCTAGCTAATTGCCTCATTGATGTGGCTGACAGGTTCATAAATTAAGGTGATGATGAATACACAGCATCTCTATGAAATTGATATGCTTTCACATAACTCTATCTCTTTCTTTTAATTCTCCAAAGTATGTATGTGCCCACATACAAAATAAAATCCACATATGCTCAGGACCTGCGTCTGTGTCAAGAAGCTTCTGCAAGTGGGGCGCCTGGGTGGCTCAGTCGTTGGGCATCTGCCTTTGGCTCAGGTCATGATCCCAGTGTCCTGGGATCGAGCCCCACATCGGGCTCTCTGCTCTGCAGGAAGCCTGCTTCTCCCTCTCCCACTCCCCCTGCCTTGTTCCCTCTCTCACTGTGTCTCTCTCTGTCAAATAAATAAATAAAATCTTGAAAAAAAAAAAAGCTTCTGCAAGTTCTCTCTCTCCTACCACATCCAGTTTAGTTTCTCTAGCGGCCTTTGAGGTGGCTTAGTCATTAAGAATCTGCCTTCGGCTCAGGTCATGATCCCAGCGTCCTGGGATCGAGCCCCTCATCGAGCCCCTCATCGGGCTCCCTGCTCCGTGGGAAGCCTGTTTCTCCCTCTCCCCCTCCCCCTGCTTGTGTTCACTCTCTCACTGTGTCTCTCTCTGTCAAATAAATAAATAAAATCTTAAAAAAAACAACAACAACTATGGAACGCTTCACGAATTTTCATGTCATCCTTGCCTATGGGCCTTGATAATCTTCTCTGTATCATTCCAATTTTAGTACATGTGTTGCTGAAGCAAGCACTCAACATTCTATCATTTTTAATCTATACAAGTGGCAATTGTAGATGGCTCAATTAAATAATAATAGTGTTTGGTCATGATAGAAACTTCTACTAAACTTAAATAATTTTACAATTTGGGAATAAAAATTTGAAAATATTTTCTTTTGAAATAGTATATTAACAATTGATGTACCTTAAAATATGAGGATACAGTGATTCTTTTTGATTATTTCAGTACATATTAAGTTGTTTGGTCTATGTACTTTCGTACACTTTTTTAGTCGATGTTATAAAACAGTAGCTTTTAACATTTTTTTTTGTAGCATCAGAGTCCTTTCTTTATGCACAACCTTATGAAGAAAGTCAGAGTATACAGAAATGAAAATAGTTTTTCTTGTGGAAGAAGGTTAAGTGGGAAACTCATTACCTCAGCTTTCCCATTGCAGCTCAACACAGGGTCACTTGGGTAACTATTTTTACCCTAGAGCATAAGATTCAAAGCTCATTTTAATTAAATATTACGGACCAATTTTAGCATCTATGGGACACTGGTTAGATGATAGCTGAAAAGCAAAAATGAGAAATCTCTTTCAAGATATTCACATGAGTATTGTACTTGGACACCAAGTCTGTTTGCTCAGGCTGCCAAGTTTGTGCCATGATATTTCAAGGGTGGAAGCCCCAAATCCTAAAATGTGATTGGAAACCTTCCCTCTCTGAATGCACTGGTACACATGATCTGTCCAAGGCATGCTTTAATTTGGAACCCAAATACGGATCTCTCCTTGAAGAATACTTGTGGTACCAATTTTTGGTAGTGTTTCTGTCTTAGTTCTGGCTGCCATAACAAAAATACTATAGACTGGGTGGCTTAAGTATCAAATATTTATTTCTCACAGTTTTGAAGGTTGGAAAGTTCAAGATAAAGGCACCATCAGATCTGATATCCTGTAAGAGCTTGCTTTCTGGTGCATAGATGGTTGGTCTCTCCCAGTGTCCTTACATGGTAGAGGGGATGAGGGACCTCTTTGGGGTCATTAGTATAATGACACTAATCTCATTCATGAGGGTTCCACTCTCATGACCTAAGTACCTTCCAAATGCTTCACCTCCTAATACTTCCACAGATTTGGTGTCTGATGAGAGCTCACTTTCTTGTTTGTATATGGCCTCTTCTGGCTGTATCTTTAGATGGTAGACAGCAGAGAAAAGAAGCGAGCTCTCTTGTGTTTCCTCTTAAAAGGGCACTAATCCATTTCATGAGGACTTCATATGCATGACCTAATTACTTCCCAAAGGCCCTATCTCCAAATACCATCACACTAAGGGTTGGAATTTCAACAGTGAATTTTAGGGAGACACAAACATTTAGTACATAACAGCTTATAAATCTTTGTAATCATGTTTAAATCATTATGTAAAGTCAATCTATGTTTTTCATTTCCCCCACCAACAAAAAATTATTAAAAAGTCAAAGGCATTAAGAATTCCCCATATCAGTGAGATCATATGATACATGTCTTTCTCTGACTGACTAACAATCTGAGGGTTGCTGGAGTGGTGGGGGGTGGGAGGGATGGGGTGGCTGGGTGATAGACATTGGGGAGGGTGTGTGCTATGGTGAGAGCTGTGAATTATGTAAGACTGTTGAATCACAGATCTGTACCTCTCAAACAAATAATACACTATATGTTAAAAAAAATAAAAGAAGAAGAAGATAGCAGGAAGGGAAAAATGAAGGGGGGGAAATCAGAGGGGGAGACAAACCATGAGAGACTACGGACTCTGAGAAACAAACTGAGGGTTCTAGAGGGAAGGGGGGGAATGGGTTAGCCTGGTGATGGGTATTAAGGAGGGCACGTACTGAATGGAGCACTGGGTGTTACACACAAACAATGAATCATGGAACATTACATCAAAAACTAATGATGTAATGTATGGTGATTAACATAACATAATAAAATAAAAATAAATAAATAAAAAGTCAAAGGCAATCAGGATATCTAGAAACATAAAGTCCTTACCATCACAAAATGCCTATATTATAAGCATCATTTTTAAATTATGTGCACTAGGCATCAGTATTAGTACTGGAGACATTGAGACCATTAGTCTAATAGAAACAAAAGGGGGAGATAGCACCTATTGAACTTTTATTTCAAGGAAATATACTAGATTCTGTATAATTAACAATTCTCCAGCAACTACAAAATTTATATTATCTAATCTAAATGGAAAAATAATTTTATTACCAAAATTTTGAAATACTTTGACAAAGTTGTAACAGTAAATAGAATAGAGATATAATCAGTTTTTATTATAAAATCCATGTTTTTTAATAACTCAAGGACATAGAAGGTTTAGTATTGACTTATAACTTTTCTATCCATTAACCTTGAGATGTTGCACAGGCCACAGCCAAATTTGTACTCTCAGTGGTGTTCAAAGATCTATTCCTTCCATTAGGTATATACTCAGCAGTGAACTTAGGCTAATGTACTTTCAATAAAGAGGTGACAAATAAAAAGCATCTTGTATTAGTTGAAGAAAATATCCTTCAATCATTAAAAGTAAAATTTCCCTCATATATCCTATTTTTCCCTTTAGCTATATAATCATCTACTTATTTAAATAATGATGACCTAGGGTTGATTATTTCCTGGCAGAAAAAAATAACCACATTATCACCTACTGGAAAAAAACCCTATCCAAGGGGCATTAAAGCCATTACAAACCGTAAATATACAAGGAAAAATAAAATAAAGGAAATGTAACTATTATGCTTTTTTAGATTCCAATATTTGTAGGGTGAGGATAAAAAAGATGGTAAGATTTTTTTTCCAAGTTGAATAAAATACAGTATTGAATAACAACCATTTTATTAACATCATTTTAGTAATAGTATTTTAAATCAGTATCTTTCTGATAATTTATCAGTGCTGGGGAAATGTTAAAAATATTTTCATTTTGGGGTGCCTGGGTGGCTCAGTCGTTGAGTGTCTGCCTTCAGCTCAGGTCACGATCCCAGGGTCCTGGGATCGAGTCCCGCATCCGGCTCCCTGCTCTGCGGGGAGCCTGCTTCTCCCTCTGCCTCTCTCTCTCTGTGTCTCTCATGAATAAATAAATAAAATCTTTAAAAAAAAATATTTTCATTTTGTTTCAAATGTTATTTTAGTTGAGAAAAATGTTTTGTAATTTGTATTTAGGAAAACGATAGCTCATTTTAAAATTTGATTATTAAAATAAAATCAATGATACTTTTCCTGAAAGATTAGCATTTGATTTTGGAGCATGCCATTTTTCATGAGAGCAAAATCATTTTTGGAAATACGTGTATTTGTGTATAGGTGTGAGTGCATGTTATGTGTGATATATGCAAACCTAATCTATACCCTAGAATTGACTTTAGTAAAATGATTTTAATTCTTTTTTTTTTTAAAGATTTATTTATTTATTTGAGAGAGTGAGAATGAGAGAGAGAGAGAGTACATGAGAGCGGGGAGGGTTAGAGGGAGAAGCAGGCTCCTCCCTGAGCAGGCAGCCCGATGCGGGACTCCATCCCGGGACTCCAGGATCATGACCTGAGCCAAAGGCAGTTGCTTAACCAACTGAGCCACCCAGGCGCCCGATTTTAATTCTTAATTTGATACTTTCATCTCCAAACCATCTGCCTCCATCTATATGCACAGTTAACCAAAATGTAAAAGTGGTAAGGAATTAAATAAGTCAATCATTAGGTACTAAAGACATCAAGAAAATGTGCTTCCTCATAAAAAATTTCAAAGTAATTATAAAACCAGAAACTTAAAATACTCAAAAATAAAATCAACTAATAAAATTTTGAATTTGTTTCTACTACTTTTAATATATTTTATATGCATTTCTAATTTTATTTTGCCAGTATTTTTTAACTCTTCTTCAAACATTCAGAGTTGTGTTTTTTTTTTAAAGCAGATATATTTGAGGGCGCCTGGGTGGCTCAGTCGTTGAGCGTCTGCCTTTGGCTCAGGTCATGATCCCAGGGTCCTGGGATCAAGCCCCGCGTCGGGCTCCCTGCTCGGTGGGAGGCCTGCTTCTCCCTCTCCACCTCCCCCTGCTTGTGTTCCCTCTCTTGCTCTCTCTCTCTCTGTCAAATAGATAAATAAAATCTTAAAAAAAAAAAAAAGCAGATATATTTGCATATTTTATTGAAAATTTCCCCTTAGATTATTTTTGGGGGTGCCACTTTTATATCATGAACTGATGTGAAATTTAAAATGATTTCTTTCTACATGACAGAGTTGTAAATTTTCCAAGTGAAAGCCACTCATATATTTTAAGCCCATATTAATATGACTGGTACATGGTAGGCACATAGTAAAAGTTTAATAAGGGTGAGAAAACATGAAAATAAATCCTAAATATTATAAATTGATTTAAAATGTTTAGAGAGAACAGCACTGGTAATGTTCTGAATGTAAGTACAAAATTGACCCCCTTTAAAAAAAAAATGGATTGCTCTCTATTAGAGTCAAAGCAATATCTAGGGAAAGAAAACTTTTCTCTTTTTTTGGAGATTTTTTAAAATTTTTTAAAGATTTTTTTATCCATTTATTTGAGAGAAAGAGCAGAGCGTGCAAGAGAGGACACAAGGAGGGAGAACCAGATGCCCCACTGAGCAGGGAGACTGACCCAGGACTCAATCCCAGGACCCCAGGACCCCGGGATCGTGACCTGAGCGGAAGGCAGACACTTAACTGACTGAGCCACCCAGGCGCCCCTCAGATTGACTGTAAAAGGTAATGTTATTCTTTGTTGAAAACATGAATAATATCAACATATATTATAAAAACATACAATAGTATCATTTAATTAATATCAATACTATAAAAATAATTTCAATTCAAATGCATTTGTGAATTGTATCCAAACCAATAATTTAACTGCTTTTCTAACTCAATATCCACTGATATTTCTGCCCTATACACAAAGTCTGTTATGTAATAAAAATAAACTTTGAAATAAATGAATGCACTTTTTT